ATGGAAAATGATAGACTAGGAATACAGTAATATAAATTTTTGAAAATGAAAAGACCCTGCAAATCACAAAAGGTGGCAAAGAGCAGATTAAGACAAGAGAGCAACATGAGATGTAAATAAAGAATTTTTTTAAAGAAAAATAATAAAAATAAAAGGAGTTTAATAAAAATATCCAATGAACAAAAGAATCCTTGAAGTGGCAGTATAGAACTGTTATCGTTATTCACAGCACAAATTTAATAAATACTGTCTTAGTAGATTAGAATATTTGGTTCAAGAAGTTAACATTATAAAGATCACACACACACACATTCACACACAGAATCCAAACTTTACAAATTACATGGAAGGGACACAGAAAGAAAGCGAACATAGAGAGTATATAGTAAAAGATTTAGAAAAGAAATAGCCACATCAGAAGCATAACATAAAATACATCTTCCCACAGAAAAAAAAAAAGCACAGGAACTCCAAAGGATGACATTAAAAAGATGAGCAAAGGTATACCTGGAATTGCCAACAGAAAGGAAAGAAGAGCCTCCACCTTAATGTTAGATAGGGCTGAATTCTAGGGGGAAAAATATTAAATAAGGACCCAGTGTGAAATGAGTTTCAGACGCTGTTACTGTCAGTGTACCAAACTACATAGCATCAAAATGGATTATAAAAAACCATAGGAAAATATAGACAGAAATACATTTGTGGTGGGAAACTTCAAATAATATCTCTCAGCTCCACAAGACAAAGTAGGGAAACATGAATAATACCCCAAAACAAATTTGAAAAAAAATGAGTAATATTATAAGAACCTCATAGCTATGTAAGATACCTTATATTGATAAGCTAGCAAATTCTGTATTTTGGGAACAGATTTCTTTTCAAGTGGCTATGTGACAATCCTAAAACCAAAAAACAAACAAAGAATACCCTTAATAATCTCTTAAAAGTGAATTTCTCCAATGCTGCAATCCTAATCTTATTAAAAGTAAAGTTTTTCTTTGTTGAAGTAGTTGCTGGTACCAGGAAAATAAAAATAAAAAAATAAAAAGTAAAGCTTTTTGTTTTTGAGACAGGGTCTCACCGTCACCTAAGCTGGATGTAGTGGCGATGTCCTGACTCACTGCAGCCTTGACCTCCCAGGCTCAAGCAATCCTCCAATCTCAGCCTCCCAAGTAGCACCACCACCACACTCAGTTAATTTTGGTTCTTGTTGTAGAGATAGGGTCTCACCATATTGCCCAGGCTAGTCTCAAACTCATGGGTTCAAGCAGTCCTCTGGCCTCAGTCTCCCAAAGTGCTGTAATTACAAGTGTGAGCCACCACACCTGGCCAAAGTAAAGTTAAAAAATGAAAATCTTGAAACCTAAAAATAAAATGTGGTAAATGGTAATTAAAGATTTGGTGGGGTAGTTAATATTCTAAAAATTCATCCTTTTCTGCTGAGTATGGTGGCTAACGCCTGTAATCCCAGCACTTTGGGAGTCTGAGGTGGGCGGATCATGACTTCAAGAGATCAGAATCATCCTGGCCAACATGGTAAAACCCCACCTCTACTAAAAAAATACAAAAAAAAAAATAATTTGGGCATGGTGGCATGTACCTGTAGTCCCAGCTACTCAGGAGGCTGAGGCAGGAGAATCACTTGAACACAGGAGGTGGAGGTTGCAGTGAGCTAAGATCACACACCATTGCACTCCAGCCTGGTGACAGAGTGAGATACCAACTCAAAAAAAAAAAAAAAGAAATTCATCTTTTTCATTTAGATATTTCAATTCATTTGCATGAGATAAATTATTTTTCTAAATAATTTTTAGTATAGTTTTGCTGTATACCAGAGCCTCTGATATACAAATAGCATTTTTATTGTTTTTTGAGATATTTCACAATTTAAGTTTTTGACTTTGGAGTGGGTTACTGAGAAAATAGCAGTTGTTTCACTAGTCCCAGTGAAAACGTACTAGGCTATTGTTTTCTTCTACTCTTCAATGCAGTTAGTTTACATATTTGACTTCTGAATCTATCTTCATAATTTCCAGGTCTTTCAGGCATCAAGGTTAACACTGTAAACAAAATAAAACAAAAACCAAAAGCGAGGTTGAGAATAATTTTAGATATTATTTTTTACCCAAAACTTTGGCATAACCATCAACTATAAAAGTGCATGACTTTTCCATTATTTTTTACTGTGTTGCAAATGCTAAATCAATAATTTCTTCAAAGACTTTTGAACCATTTGATCCTACCAATTATATCTATTTTTTGTAGACCTTTATCCTTTTGTTCATACTTTCATATTTTTTGATGATTTTATATAATATTCATTCATGATTGTTTGAATCTTAGATATGGAAGTAACTATTTCTCCTGTTTCGTTCCTTTTTTATTTTTCAGAGTCTAGCTTTGTTTCCCAGGCTGGAATGCAGTGGCATGATCTCGGCTCAGTGCAACCTCTGCCTCCCAGGTTTAAGCGATTCTCCTGCCTCACCCTCCCAAGTACGTGAAACTATAGGCCTGTACTGTGGCACTCCACTAATTTTTGTATTTTTAGTAGAGATGGGGTTTTGCCACATTGGCTAGGCTGGTCTCGAACTCTCAGCCTCAGGTGACCCTCCCACCTCAGCCTCCCAAAGTGCCGGGGTTACAGGTGTGAGCCACAATGCCAGCCCAGTCTTTTTGTGTTTTTTTGAGACAGAGTCTGTCTCTGTTGCCCAGGCTGGAGTGCAGTGGCACAATCTCAGCCACTGCAACCTCTGCCTCCTGGATTCAAGCGATTCTCCTGCCTCAGCCACCTGAGTAGCTGGGACTGCAGCTGCGCCACCACAACTAGCTAATTTTTGTATTTTTTTTAGTAGAGATGAATGGTCTCGATCTCCTGACTTCGTGATCCACCCGCCTCGGCCTCCCAAAGTGTTGGAATTACAGGCATGAGCCACCGTACGCCCGGCCACCGAGTCTTTGATTATATAGACATTTACTACTTTTTCTTGATCATTTACACATAGAAGTAACTTATGTTTCTGTCAAACTCATACCTTAGGTCTTTTTTTTTTCTCCCAAACTTCCAGGATTCCAAAAAAGAAGCAATTAAATCTGAGTTTTTCCCCTCCATCTGCAGGTTAGCTTTTAGCAGACAAACTTACTTTATTTATTTATTTATGTTGAGACAGGGTCTCACTGTGTCATCCAGACTGGAATACAGTGGCATGATCTTAGCTCACTGCAACCTCCACTCCCCAGGCTCAAGTGATCCCCCCATCTCCCGAGTAGCTGGGACTACAGGCCAGCACCACCACATGCAGCTAATTTTTGTATTTTTGGTAGAGATGGAGTTTCACCATGCTACCCAGGCTGATCTCTAACTCTTGAGCTCAAGCAATCCACCGACCTCAGCCTCCCAAAGTGCTGGGAGTATAGGCATGACCCACGACACCCAGCCTACCACACAAACTTTAAAACATACTACTTTATGCAAATGTTTTTTAATTGTGGTAAAAATATACATAACATAAAATTTGCCATTTTAATTTTTTTTTTTTTTTTTTTTTTAGAGACAGAGTCTTACTCTGTCACCAGGCTGGAGTGCAGTGGCGCCATCTCAGCTCACTGCAACCTCCGCCTCCCAGGTTCTAGCAATTCTCCTGCCTCAGCCTGCCGAGTAGCTGGGATTACAGGTGTGTACCACTACACCACGCTAATTTTTGTATTTTTAGTAGAGATGGAGTTTCACCATATTGGTCAGGATGGTCTCGATCTCTTGACCTCGTGATCTGCCCGCCTTGGCCTCCCAAAGTGCTGGGATTAGTGTGAGCCACCATGCCCAGTGCCATTTTAATATTTTTAAGTGACCAGTTCAGTGGCATGAAGTATATTCACAATGTTGTCTAAGAGCCTTCTACTTTTTCTTTTCTTTTCTTTTTTGAGACAGAGCTTAGCTCTTGTTACCCAGGCTGGAGTGCAATGGCATGATCTCGGCTCACCGTAACCTCCGCCTCCTGGGTTCAGGCAATTCTCCTGCCTCAGCCTCCTGAGTAGCTGGGATTACTGGCACGCGCCACCATGCCCAGCTAATTTTTTGTATTTTTAGTAGAGATAGGGTTTCACCATGTTGACCAGGTTGGTCTTGATCTGTTGACCTCATGATCCACCCACCTCGGCCTCCCAAAGTGCTGGGATTACAGGCTTCAGCCACCGCACCCGGCCTTTTTTATTTATTTATTTATTTTTGAGACAGAGTCTCGCCCTGTCACCCAGGCTGGAGTGCGATGGCATGATCTCAGCTCACTGTAACCTCTACCTCCTGGGTTCAAGCAATTCTCCTGCCTCAGCCTCCTGAGTAGCTGGGATTACAGGTGCGCACCACCATGCCTGGCTCTACTAAAGATTTTTTGTATCTTTAGTAGAAACGGGGTTTCACTATGTTGGCCAGACTGGTCTCGAACTCCTGACCTCGTGATCCACCCACTTCAGCCTCCCAAAGTGCTAGGATTACAGGTGTGAGCCACCTCACCCGGCCTTACTTTTTATTTCTAATTTAATGTTCTTAGAAAACAGAATCGGTATGATGGCAAAGGTCTCCAGTCTTTGTCTGCCTTGACAGTAGTGTACTAAAATGACCAATGGTAGACATAATGATTTCTGTTCATTTTTACTTAATACAGTTCAAAGATACATTATTAGTTAACAAATGTTGATACCTTTTATAATTATTCGTATATTATTCCTTTTATAAGTATGAACTATTCTCTTCATCCCTTTAAGTGATTTTCATCTTAAATTCCTTTTGATCTGTTCCTAAATTGCATCCCTAGCTTTCTTTTGGTTCATTTCTTTATTTTTAAATGAGGATAAAAGTGGCCCCAGTCACTGAGCCGCCGCCGAGGACTCAGCAGCCTCCCCCTTAAGCCCCCTCGCTTTCCGACGTTCCATCCCCGCTGCCCACCTTATCCTACCGCCGCCGCCTTCCACAGGCCATTTCCACCGAGGAAAAGGAATCGTATCATATGTCCACTATCCAGAACCTCCACTCTTTCGACCCCTTTGCTTATGCAAGTAAGGGTGATGACCTGCTTCCTGCTGGCACTGAGGATTATAGCCATATAAGAATTCAACAGAGAAACGGCAGAAGACCCTTACTACTGTCCAAGGGATGATTACGATAAAAAGAAACTAGTGAAGGCGTTTAAGAAGAAGTTTGCCTGCAATGGTACTGTAATTGAGCATCCAGAATATGGAGAAGTAATTCAGCTACAGGGTGACCAACGCAAGAACATATGCCAGTTCCTCGTAGAGATTGGACTGGCTAAGGACTGTCAGCTGAAGATTCATGGGTTTTAAGTGCTTGTGGCTCACTGAAGCTTAAGTGAGGATTTCCTTGCAATGAGTAGAATGTCCCTTCTGTCCCTTGTCACAAGTTTAAAAACCTCACAGCTTGTATAATGTAACCATTTGGGGTCTGCTTTTAACTTGGACTAGTGTAACTCCTTCATGCAATAAACTGAAAAGAGCCATAAAAAAAAAAAATGAGGATAAAAGCAGCCCCTGACTGCTGACGGTTAGCCTGGTACTATCAGTTAAGCTTCAGTTTTGCTAGAGGACAGCCTGGCAAGGACCAACTAACTCATGGTGTTCTCTGTGGCACTACACAAAAACAATCTCGTGGAATACCAACAGCAAATAAGACCAATCTCTGACTACCATGATGGGAGACAAAACCAAGACCATTCTGTCATTATACTTGAAGTCAGACAAAAATCAGAATCTTCTTCAAACCACAAAAGTGAATAAAAGTCTCCTTATTCTAAGAAAAGTGACTGCCAATTATACCTTTACCAATTAGAGCTTTTGCTTCAATCTACCCTTCCTATCTTCTAGATAAAGATGATTAAGATACCCAATCAAAATTACCCAACAGGAACAGAAGTACAGGTTCAGGGAAATTCAGCTAAGATTCTTATTACCTATGACTAAAACCCTGAAATGAAAGTCTGCTACTACTTATACATGCCACGGAAGGGAAAGACATGAGAAGAATGTCTACTGCTACATAATTCATAACATCATCTGTATTTTACCAAACAAATATTTAAAAACCAATGTGTGAAAAGTTAGTCTACTATGGCACCTTTTGTGAAGTAGAAATAAAAAAATGTGTAGTTGTTATTACTTGTTTACAGAACTAAGCAATCGAAGGAAATGAATAAAATTGGTCATCTATGTTGAGAAACACAGGGGAGGTGGAGAACAGAGGTGGATGAACCATAAATCCATCTTTCCCCTGAATTTGTTTCCTATAACACTTTTCAGGGTGTGTTACCTTTATATATATTTCTAATTGTTTTTAATTTTTACTTTTTACTATTATTCCCATTTTACTGATGATATTATTTTTGTACTAAGTGTATATATTCCCTATTCAGAAAACTGAAGTGTCCTAATATACTATCACAGTATCTCTAGAGGTATAAGAAATAAAATTATACCCATGAAATAAGAACAAGATCCTAATCAAAAAGAATATTTTGAAAACAAACTAGAGTTATTCAAAATTAAAATGTTGAATTAAAAGATTGATAGTGGTAATGAAACTCAAAAGAAGGGCTGCAAGGCAAACGTGACAAAGCTTCTCCAAAAAGAGCAGCAGAGAAACGGAAAACAGTAATGGGGGAAAACAATAGAGAACATCTGAAAAACAGAAATTTTTTAAAAAAAGAAAAGAGCCGGCCGGGCGCGGTGGCTCAAGCCTGTAATCCCAGCACTTTGGGAGGCCGAGGCGGGTGGATCACGAGGTCGAGAGATCGAGACCATCCTGGTCAACATGGTGAAACCCCGTCTCTACTAAAGGTGCAAAAAATTAGCTGGGCATGGTGGCTCGTGCCTGTAATCCCAGCTACTCAGGAGGCTGAGGCAGGAGAATTGCCTGAACCCAGGAGGCGGAGGTTGCGGTGAGCCGAGATCGCGCCATTGCACTCCAGCCTGGGTAACAAGAGCGAAACTCCGTCTCAAAAAAAAAAAAAAAGAAAAAGAAAGAAAATATATGTGTTGGAGGAGGCAGTTTAGGAAGAAACAGATAAATACTTTCAAAATCCCACAGAAAAGTGACTTCTAACCAGGAAAATCTATCCACAGTCCAAAGATTAATGTAGTGTGATGACAAAATAAACAAGTTTTCCTTGACAGTCCACAGGTGGCCTCCAGACAAGGAGACATTACCCACGTGTTGCTCATTCTCAACAGGAAGATCAAGATTTGCTTCAGGAGCATCAGGTCTAGAGTCCAGCTGCTTCCTGTGGCCCAGCTGCCTCCCTCTGTCATGAGGGTCTAGTGACAGATCGGAGATATCTACTCCCAGATTGAATTCCCATCCCCTGGGACTCCTCCTCACCTCATAGGAGCTGCCATGATCCTCTAGAGCCAGGGCTGGGGATTTCTGGGGTGAAGTCCAGCTGGTTGGCATGGCCACAATGGATCTCAATCCTTTTTCTCTAGTGTGCCTGAAGTTTAGTGGTCATCTGTGAACTCAAGCAGAGCTGCTCTGAAGAGGTAGGCTGGAGTCTGGAGGAAGATCTGGCCCCAGGGCTCCCCAAAGAAACCTGGAAAGACAATGTTCTCATAGTCAGTCATTTAACATTCACCACATAAACACTTCCTGGATACATCAAGGTGCAGGTCCCTGAGCTAGAAACCAAAGCAGTGGTTCTCAAACGGATATGCATTCAAGTTACCTGAAGGACTTGTTAAATAAAACACTGTTAAAAATTCTCAGCCCTGGCAGAGCGCGGTTGTTCACACCTGTAATACCAACACTTTGTTGGGCCGAGGCGGGTGAATCACCTGAGGTTGGGAGTTTGAGAGCTCTGTTGCCAGGCTGGAGTGCTGTGGCGCGATCTCGGCTCATTGCAACCTCCACCTCCTGAGTTCAAGCGATTCTCCTGCCTCAGCCTCCCGAGCAGCTGGGATTACAGGCATGCACCACCACACACAGCTAATTTTTTATTTTTAGTAGAAATGGGGTTTCACCATGTTGGCCAGGATGGTCTCGATCTGCTGACCTCATGATCTGCCCACTTCAGTCTCCCAAAGTGTTGGGATTACAGGCGTGGGCCACCACACCCGGCCGTTTCTTCACTTTCAGTTTCAAAAATGAGGATGAAAATGCTTATCTCAAAGCTACAAAAATTAAATGCGATAATACTCATAAAGTGCTCAACACCTCCGTGGCACACAAAAATCATACAATAAATATAAGCAATTAGCATGCATTATCAGGTATTAAAACAATATAAAAACAACGTAATAAAAACAAGTCAAACAATAAATATACCAGACAATATTTATTGATCTATATATGTGATAAAAGTTGTATTCAATTGAATGTGCATAAGACATTCACTGCATAAATGGCAATGATATAACTGGCCATCCACCTGGAAAAAAACAAACTAGAGCTTCATCATACTCTATTCAGTAGGCAAATGCCAGCAGGACAGATCACTTAATCATGTGTACAGTATTTGCTAAATCCCGAAGAATATTAAAATAAATTTTAGAAGTATATATGTGTATAACACTGTGGTGGGTGTCCTCTTATTACACATGAGAGGAAACACAGACGCTATAGCAGAAAAATCAGATATTTTTTATTGGATTATATTTCCTAAGTTTATGTTAAAATATATTGCAAAAAACAAAAAAAGAGTTGGACAAAGGATATGAAAATTCACAGAAAAGGAAACAAATGGCAGTTAACCAAAAAGATGCCAACTTTTGGTAACTGGAAATGCCTCAGAGCAATTAGATATAATTTTCCCTCAAAATTTTAAAAACGTTTAAAATGCAACAATATCCACTGCAGGAAAAGCATTTGGGAAAATGAGTTAATTTATATATTGTTGGTAGAAGCTTGAATTGTTACATTTTGAGCTACTTAGTTATAAGTATAACATATTAAAAATGCACACAATTGCTCCTAATATAATTTCACATATATAAAGCAGAAAAAGAAGGAAGGACAAATAGACAGATAACCTTTCCAGTGTGAGTAGTTTACCTTCCTCTCTAATTAATCAGACAAAATAATCTGTGAGGAGACAGATATATATATATATATATATATATATATATATATATATATATATTTTTTTTTTTTTTTTTTTTTTTTTTTTTTTTTGAGACGGAGTTTCGCTCTTGTTACCCAGGCTGGAGTGCACTGGCGTGATCTCAGCTCACGGCAACCTCCGCCTCCTGGCTTCAGGCAATTCTCCTGCCTCAGCCTCCTGAGTAGCTGGGATTACAGGCACGCGCCACCATGCCCAGCTAATTTTTTGTATTTTTAGTAGAGACGGGGTTTCACCATGTTGACCAGGATGGTCTCGATCTCTTGACCTCGTGATCCACCCGCCTCGGCCTCCCAAAGTGCTGGGATTACAGGCTTGAGCCACTGCGCCCGGCTATTTTTTGAATATATACTTAATTAATATCTATAACAATACAATTAGAGAACACTGTATACCATTTTTATGAATAGATGTGACATTCATGAAAACTGACCACGAACTAGGTCATAAAGCAATTTTTTCAATTTGAGCATTAACCAGACATATTTAAAACAAAAAAGAGGTCGCATGATGGCTCATGCCTGTGTAATCCCAGAACTTGGGGAGGCCAAGGCAGGCAGATTACAAGGTCAGGAGTTCGAGACTAGCCTGACCAACATAGTGAAACCCCGTCTCTACTAAAAATAAAAAATTAGCTGTGCATGATGGTATGCGCCTGTAATCCCAGCTACTTAGGAGGCTGAGGCAGGAGAAACGCTTGGACCTGAGAGATAGAGGTTGCAGTAAGCCGAGATCGCACCACTGCACTCCAGCCTGGGCAACAGAGCGAGACTCCGTCTCAAAATTAATTAATTAATTAATTTTTAAAAAGGAACTTCTAAATAATTCATGGATCAAAGAAAAAAAAAACACTTAGACTTGAACAATTTTTAATACAAAGATTTACCAAAACTTGTGATCTTTTATATTAAAGAAGACTGAAAATTAATAAGCTGAACTTTCAACTCAGATTAGAAATCAAGCTGATTACAGTCTTCACCGATCACCATAGCTGACCCTACAGGCTCTGTCACTGACCACAGACTCCCATTACTGACTACCAAACCCCAATCACTCATCCCAAAGAGCCCCATTAATGACCCGAGAAATCCGTCACAGACAACCAACAACAGACGCCACACAAACCCATCGCCGAACCCCAAAACCACCATCACTAACTCGACAGGCAACCTCGACACCTCCTATTACTGGCTCCACAGAAACCCCAGTCGTGACCAACCAAAATCACCTCAAAGACTTCTCCGTATTGGAACATGAAAATTCTGACACCAGCGGCGAAAAAGCCTTAGAGGACCACTTCCACTTCCGGTCCGACTTCTAGCCCCTCCCCTTTGTAGGCTGTTGATATTGCGCATGCTCTGAATTAACTTGGACTCCAGTTTCGCCAGTCTACGAGGCGCAGGCACAGCGCACGCTTTCCGTAATCTGGCGCTGTCGGGCAGAGAATATGGCAGCGCCTTTGCGGTGTTTATTCGTGTGGGCCGCCATCTTGGGAGCGTAGCGGTTCCAGAGAGCGGAGGAATTGGCCGCGGGCAGGATTCCTAGAGGCAGGTAAGGATGCTGGAATACGACCCTTGTCTGACTAGGCTTCTATTCTGGAGGAGAAAGTTACTGGAGATGGAGTCTGGCGCTGTATGTTACATTTAGAAAACCTAAGTTGCCCTTCTGAATACAGGACACTGAGGATAATAATTACCTGCTGGGAGAAACCACCAAGGAAGAGAAGAGCCAGAGAAAAAACTCCAAGTTAAGGGGATCCTGGGAGAAACCACAGGCAGGTGATAGGAGGAATCAGGATTAGTACAGTCCACTTTTTAGAGACGCCAGTCAAGGAAAAGTTGGACAGGTCACTATGGGAGTCATCTCTTGAGTGAAACCACCCTGAAAATCTGAGAGACATCTGAAGGAGTAGTAGGCTGCAGGTACGGAGGTAAACCACCTTAGGAAATAGGGTAGAAGTCCGATGGTTTTAATACAGCCTTCTTCTAGAAGATACCACCAGAGTTGGGAGGAGAGGTCCAGGCGTCCCCTTCTGAAGGGCTGCGTGGAGTGGGAAGGTGAATAGAGATTTGAATCCCCATTAATATCCATTACCCTTCATACTGACTACCTCAAGTGCAACTATAGTAGGCAATAGTAATAACACTAATAGTCTTTAGTATGGTCAACGTGTGACTACACCTAAAAGAAAAAATCTATTTTCATTTACCTTGAAGTTAAAATATAATTAATAGCAATCGCCTTACTATATCAATGAATCTTTAAGTGCAGTCTCTGACCCTTAGCCTCTCTGTGGAAATTCTGAAGCCACGTAACACCTCCTTATTCCCCTTTTTGAGGGGTATAGGTGAGGAGTTGTGAAGATACAATTCCTTTCACTTGGTGAACTCCTAAACATTACTCACAGCTCAGCTTCTGACAGGAAGTTCCACCTGAGAGTAGTGGTAGGTTTTTTTACCCAGTAAGTTCAGTTCCAGCAGGTGGGAAAATTGTTTTCAGGGAATTGAACCTACACTCTGATGTGGGCATGCTGGATGCCTTCAGGCCAGTTATGTCTCTCTCTGGGACTCAGCTTAAAAATATGTTTAGAGAATTAGACTGCTGATCTCAGGTTCTGTTTCTTCTCCTAAAGGATAGTCTAAGGAAACATCTGTGAAGTCCATTGTGAACACACATTTCTACCAGAGGCCTAAGAATCACTGTTAATTTTGTCAGTAATGCAATTAAAAAGAATATGACTTGGCCAGGTGCGGTGGGTCACACCTGTAATCCTAGCACTTTGGGAGGCTGAGGCTGGTGGATCACGAGGTCAGGAGTTCAAGACCAGCCTGGCCAACATGGTGAAACCCCGTCTCTACTAAAAACACAAAGAATTAGCCAGGCATGATGGCACATGCCTGTAGTCCCAGCTACTCAGGAGTCTGAGACAGGAGAATCCCTTGAACCCAGGAGGCAGAGATTGTGGTGAGCCAAGAACATGCCACTGCACTCCAGCCTGAGCAACAGAGCGAGACTCCATCTCAAAAAAAAAAAAAAAAAAAAACAACAACTCCACTGAGAAGGGGTATATGGTATTGCAAAATAAAATGTTGATAAATGTTGAAGCAGGTTGGTAAGTAGACAGAAGTCATTATAGTGGTCTCTTCCTAGTATTTGTGTGAAAATTTCTTTTTTTTTTTTATTAATAGATACAGCGTTATTAAGATTATCTATTTCTCTTTGAGTGAGTCTTTGCAATTTGTGTTTCCTAGAGTTGTACCTACCTAATCTATCAAATTTGTGAGCATAGACTTTTGCGTGAAAATTTCATAGTAAAATTTTAATTTAGGCCGGGCGCGGTGGCTCAAGCCTGTAATCCCAGCACTTTGGGAGGCCGAGGCAGGTGGATCACGAGGTCGAGAGATCGAGACCATCCTGGTCAACATGGTGAAACCCCGTCTCTACTAAAAATACAAAAAACTAGCTGGGTGTGGTGGCGCGTGCCTGTAATCCCAGCTACTCAGGAGGCTGAGGCAGGAGAATTGCCTGAGCCCAGGAGGCGGAGGTTGCGGTGAGCCGAGATTGCGCCATTGCACTCCAGCCTGGGTAACAAGAGTGAAACTCCGTCTCAAAAAAAAAAAAAAAGAAAAAGAAAAAGAAAAAAGAAATTGAATTGGCAGCATATACAAAAACCAATCCTATGTGTATTAATGATTCAGATGTTAAAAACATAATTTTAATACTTTCAGTAAAAAATCAGTAAATGTTTTTTACAGTTTGTGGGAATAGAAAGATCTCTTAAACCGAACACCAAAAAAAAAAAAAAAAAAAACCCACTAAACATAAAAAGTTTGATAAAACAGACTATATTAAAATAATAATTTTTGTTCATCAAGTGATAATAAAGAGAATAAAAAGACAAGGCATAAACTGATGCAGATACACATAGAACACAGGCTACCCGGGATTGGTAGCAGGAATATACTTTTTAAAAAACCCTCCAAATCAATAAAGAAAGCATAACAAACCCAATGCAAATATGGTAGGAGGCATGCACAGGTATTTTACAGAAGAAGAAATGCACATAGCAAGTAGATATATGAAAAGATTTTCAGCATCCTTAGGATCAGGGAAATGTAAGTCAAGATAACAATATAATTTTACATAGGTTTGGCAAAATTAAAAAGTTTGACAGGTTGGGCGCAGTGGCTAACACCTGTAATATCAGCACTTTGGGATGCCGAGGCGAGTGGATCATGAGGTCTGGAGTTCAAAACCAGCCTTGCCAAGATGGTGAATCCTCATCTCTACTAAAAATACAAAAATTAGCTGGGCATAGTGGTGGGTGCTTAAAATCTCAGTTACTTGGGAGGGTGAGGCAGAGAATTGTTTGAACCCAGGAGGCAGAGGTTGCAGTGAGCCGAGATTGCACCACTGCACTCCAGCCTGGACCACAGAGTGAGACTCTGTCTCAAAAAAAAAAAAAAAAAGAAAAGAAAGACAGCGAGCCGGGCGCGGTGGCTCAAGCCTGTAATCCCAGCACTTTGGGAGGCCGAGGTGGGTAGATCACGAGGTCGAGAGATCGAGACCATGCTGGTCAGCATAGTGAAACTCCATCTCTACTAAAATTACAAAAAATTAGCTGGGCGTGGTGGCGCGTGCCTGTAATCCCAGCTACTCAGGAGGCTGAGGCAGGAGAATTGCCTGAACCCAGGAGGCGGAGGTTACGGTGAGCCGAGATGGCGCCATTGCACTCCAGCCTGGGTAACAAGAGCGAAACTCCGTCTCAAAAAAAAAAAAAAAGACAGCGAGATCCTATCAAAGCAACGTGAATTCAGCTAAAACTGAAGCAAGAACTAACATCAAATTTATGATGAAGCTTGTGTGGGAGAATGGTGAAATCACTGTTGCCTTACAAAAAGTTTATGAGTACAGTGCCCCAAAGAAGTAAGCAGTTTACAGATGAATAACTCATTTTAAGAAAGGATGAGATGATGTCGAAGATGAAGCCTGCAGCTGCAGGCCATCCACATCATTTTGTGAGAAAAAATTTTAGCTTGTTCACGCTTTAGCTAAATAGGACTAACGATTAACAGCAGAAACAATAACCAACACCATAGACATCTCAACTGGTTCATCTTACACAGTTCTTATTCAAATATTGGAGCTGAACAAACTTTCCACTTCATGAGTGCTAAAACCATTGCACCCAGATCAGCCACAGACAAAAGCAGAGCTTCCCATGGAAATTTTAAACAAGTGGATCAAGATCACTTAGTATTTCTTCAAAGAATTGTAAGAAGAGAAGAAACAGGGCTTCAACAGTATGATTCTGAAGACCAAGCATCATCAGCGGCGGAAATGATCCAGTCAAAGCAAAAGCAGATTGGTCGAGAGCAAAGGCTGCGGCAACAGTTTTTTTGGATGCTCGAGGCATTTTGCTTGTTGACTTTCTGGAGGGCTAAAGGAAAAAAAAAACATCTGCTTATTATGAGGCTGTTTTGAGAAAATTAGCCAAGGCTTTTGAGGAAAAATGCCTGAGAAAGCTTCACAAGAGAGTGCTTTTCCACCATGGTGATGCTTCTGCTCATTCCTCTCACTAAGCAAGGGCACTTTTGGGAGAGTTTTGGTAAGAAATTATTAGGCATCCATGTTACAGTCCTAGGCTTGGGCCCTTGCAGAACAGCTGCTGAGCCAGGGCCTGGAGTGTGGGGACATGTACAGAGTGACTGTGGCTCCAGAGTCTGGGACTTGGACTAGCTAGCAGCAGCTGTGGGTTCAGTTTGAGGTGTGGGTACTCATAGGACAGATACAGAGCTAAAGCATACAGAGCAGTGGTGACTCTGGAGTCTGTGGTACATGGAGAAGTTGAAGGCAATGGACCACTCCCAGGGAAACTCAATAATGGCTCCTTCTCGGGATGGGGCACAAAATGTCTCTCTCTCCAGCTGGCCCATGGTGGCAATGGCTGTTGACTACCTCAGTGGCAAAAGATACTGTGATCCTCTATAGAGCAGGCCACTGAGATCTGTGCTAAGGAACACTAAGAAGATCTCCATTGTGGAAGTTGTGGGGAGTCTGTGGCTGTTGCAGGGGCTGTTGAAATCTCTAGCTGCAAAGGCTAGATGTCTTCAGCAGAGCCGGCCACTGGGGACCACCATGGTACCCATAGTGGAGCTTCCACTAATAAATCCCATCCTTCTTCCTTGTCTGTAGTCATCACCTGACATCTCAGGTGTGCCAGTCTCCCCAGAAATCCCTGCTATGTGGTTATTATTGTTTTTGCTCTACTGTGTTACTGCAGGTTATTAA